AACTGTGCCCAAGACTATCCAGTTGTTCTGAACAGAAGAGACTAACACATTCAGCTGAAACTGCAAAGAATTAAGGTGGCAGATGGTAATTAAAGATACTGGAAGTAAGCCTGGGTAAAGGTGGTTAGAACTTCAGTTTAATGTCTCATCTATGAGGTGTTGCACTCATGAGATAAAACTCTCTCATATTTAGATGGGAATGTGGCTCATTATGGACACATTAGAGGAAAAAATTACTTCTTCCAAAGCACAAATACCAACTTTTCTTGTACATTTCTTTTCCAAAAAAAGACTTGATTAAGCCATGAGACGATAGACCAGAATGGCGTGTGTATCACCAGATGAAAAGCCCTTTCCATATGTCTGTACATCAGAGATGAAAGTCTTATTTCCATTTCATTATTTCTTCAAATTGTTACTGAATAAGTAATGGCTATTTATTTGACATTTTATTCCACACTATTATGAACATGAGACACAGGATTTAATCCACAAGCCTGATCCTGAGGTTTTGCATGTAGAAAAATAGAGAAAGAGAGACTGTAAGTCAAATAAACAAATTCAGTTTGAGATGTAAAGTTTTAAAATTCTGCTGTAATCTAAGTAACTCCAGCAAGCTAAGTAAGATGATTTTTCCAGCATATGCTGTTCCTGCCCTTCCACTAGAAGCAAGTGAAGAAGACAATGAAGGCCAGTTACATATGCCATTTGACAACTTCAAAGCACTACCCACTACAATAATACATGCAATACTCCAATTGCATATATTGGTCACCAGTTTTCAAAGTGGTTATGTAAGTAAAATGATTAGATTCTGAAATCATAGTCTCTGTTATCTGTTGGCAATATTTAAATCTGTCTCAGTAATAAACTTTCCCTGTTTTAAAACAGTGAAAGACATCAGAAAAAAATACTGGTATGTTGCTTTTAATATTACAACCCATGCACCAGACTCATGAAATACAGATTTGATAAAAGACACTGAGGAAAAGAAACCTGTCTACTCATAAGTAGAATATTTCTCAGCACTAATCACAAAGATGCCATAACACTTCACGTGTATATTCCTTTTACATCAAAGTATTAATCTAAATGTGGCAGGCATAGCAGCCTCATTAGATGGCCAGGACAAGTTGCAAGTCTAAAGTAAAAAATAAAAGACTGTTACCATTCTCTAAACTTTGCTCTGCCTTGCTGCCCATTTCAGAAATTCATCTTTGTACAAAAAGACTGAGCAGGATATAATTGCTCTGAGCTGTGGTGTTTAGTCCGCCCACTAGGTCTGGGACCAGTGTCACTATAAAGCTGTCCGTGAAGCAGCATTCTCAGAATCCCAGACAGTGATCAATACCAAACAGCTTCACCAAGTTTTCATTTTTTAAATGAAAATCACTTTTCTGTGTATTGAAGACTGTTTGTTTAGAATTATTGTAAAAGCTGCAAAATTATATGCAACTAAGTGGGAAATGATCCTGGAAGCATGTGATGTTTAATTACATATCAAGAGGAAATTACACTGGTTTTCTTTTTCCCGTTATACAAAGGTTTGTTTAACCACTTCAAATTCTGTTCCTGAGCCACCTACTATTTCTGTGACTTTCGGTTTATTTTGTTAAATGTGGTTTTTTACCTCTTCCTCCAAACAGGATACTCTTCAAATCCTGGCTGCTTCTATTATTAACCCACTGACAAGACCATTTTACAGTTAACACATTCTTCCCAAGACTGTTGTTTACCTAGAACAACTGAGTCAGATTTCAATGTTCTGTGAATTAAGTCCAGTGTCTTAACCAGTTACATGCTTAGTTTTCTGAAGCTGGAATGGGAAACAAGAAGTGGTTTGCAGTAATAAAGCAATAATTCCGGAAATAAACATGTTCAGAAGTATAAACTGTGTATATATATTTGCAGAGTATACCATTATTCTTTTGACCTACCAGCCTTTAAGTTCTGATGTTATATTTTGAACTGTTACCAAAACAACCCACAAAACTTAATTCAAACATTTACTTGCAGAACAAAGATACCCAGATCTCAAAAATCATCGTAATGAACTAACTGTACAAATGCATGCTGGGAGCAGAACTTGCAACTGACACTAAGAATATTATTCCATACAATGTTCAGTGAAGGAGAATGTGTACAATGGGCAACTGCTATTAAGACTTGTATGCTTTTAAAGAATATCAGTTACAGGACAAATTTGCAGGTTCTTCAGAAAGCAATGAACTTTTCCAACAAACTATGAATTAAATAGATCAGGGTAATATTCAGGTATTTACACTCACAGCCACTAGATATGAAAGTAAATCATGTTGTTTTTCAATATCACCCTTTACTGTTTATTTAAAGCAATACTGTTCCAGTAGTCTTTTTGTGATGGACAAGTGACCTGATTTAAGAGATCACTTACAAAACAAGTCATCTCAGACATCTTCAGAAGGCGAAAAAATGAAAAATACACACATATATGAAACCATTCTTCCTATATTCCAGATATTTTAGAATATTATTTTGATTTCTATCAAAAGAAAACATACACTGTAGCTAAGTGTCTCAAGATTCAGAAGGACAATCACATGTATTTTACATCTCATGTACTACTCGTATTGTTAGATCAGTACTTGTTGGAATGTGTCATCTTAAAGGCACTTCTCAATGGAATAAGAAGGCAAAACTTTATATCCTTCAATTCAAACTGGATACAGTCATCAATTCTTCATTTATAAAAATGACTGAAAAATGGTTTTAATAATTACTTAGAGAACTCACTGTTTTCCTAAGATTTTACAGAGCACACAATATATTAGAAGAGATTAGGTATCAGAAATGTTTAAATCAATTCTAAATCTTCTATGGCAATCACTCTAAGCCATTATGAAACTTACATACAAAAAGAAAAGATAAATTTCCTAAGCAAAATGTGAATTCTTTACTACAAATGCTAACAATATATTTCTAGAGTTCAGAACATCCCTTTCACCCTCCCACTCTTCACTTTTCTCATTAAAGATGGCACAGTGCTATGAAAACATGTTTTAAAAAGTCCGAAGGGAAAAGTTTCCCAGGGTCTTTGAAATTCCTCCTTTTCCTATTTCTTTACAGATTTCTAACACCAACACCATTCCTGTAGTTTCTCAAAAAAGGCAAAAATAAAAATACCCTCTAGGTATAATCTTTCAATTTTCTATTACACTTCTCAGGCTCTTTTTGGTTTTTGAAACAAATACAAACTGAAATGTGCAGTCATATTATGAGCTGTATTTTAGTTTTAGTTAATCTTTTAGTGTGAAGAAGTACATGGCATTCAACCATACTTACAAGAATCACTGAAATAACCTGCAAATATTTTTAGTTTGATCTCTTTTTTTGGTGCACTTTTTTTAAATTTACCTGTTAACACAAAAAACCCAAACAAACAAACAACATACCAAACCCACCAACCATCCAAACAACCCCATTTCTTCAGTTTCTACCTCTATGATAAAAAGCACAGGGCAAGGAGATATCCCCTACGTATATGAGAAATATACTGCACTATAAACCCTGTCCCTATTTCTCCCTTTTCAAGCAAATATTTGAATATTATCATTCTAAGCTAGAGATTCCACAATTTTCATCACAAAATCCAGCTGGATTTTAGAATACTTGTTGCATGATAATTTTGATTAAGCTGTTGAACATTTGGCCACGTTGACTTAGATGAGTCAAAATGTTCAGAGATATGGGATCACATTACCAGCAGGCTAAAAACAGCTTTGGCCTAGTCTTGTTTAGTTTAACAGATCCCATTAGGAAATCAAGCGTTGCTCCACCACCCACTCCATAAAGGAGGAGCTGTATGGCCTAGGAGCACTTTCCATCACGCAAGTGATGAGGGATATCAGTTCACATTCGGTCTCCTGCATATATGTGTTTTCCTATATTTTTGTTTCATTTTCCTCCTTGATTCTTCCTCCATCTCTAAGACCATTCTTGCCATGTAGAATTATAGTAAGAAATCACCAGAACTTTTCATATAATCATAGCCAAGAGTCACTCAACAAACTACTCTCTTGGAAGCACTGAATGCTAAGAATTGTCTCGCATCAGAACCAGAAAATCCACTCAGCCCAACCATCTCTGCTGTTTCCAGGAAGAGAAGCCATGAATTTTTCTAAACATTTCAGCCAGGTGTGTGCCAAGATATTGAGTTACTGGATTGTTCTCCTGCATGTTCCTCGCTTAAGAAACAACTCTGCTTACAATTGATGGTGATAAAAGGTCATGGACCCTAAACCAGAAGTTTCTATTGTGTGCAGTATCCCTACACTGCTTGCATCAATTTGAATAAGCACAGTCTGTATTTAAAATGCTCTTACAAATACTAGGGTTGGCAACTGGTGACTACTATAGCCCTATTTAATAATTAATATCCACAAAATTATGACAGGTGTCGATAACTTACTCTTAAAGTACTTGTATTGAACACAAGCACTATTATGGACGACTTAAACTTGGAGTGAAAAGATTTGTGGAAAGGCATATGACCTTCTTCCTTCTACAATGGCCATCCCCTAATTAAGCAATGCATCTGATAGTCATTAACAGGAATGAGATAATGAATCACTTTCTCTCTTCTTTGTTAATTTGCTGTAACCAAGCGGCTAATGGATGTCAGAGCTGAGTGATTGCACTGATTATAGTGATTTATAGTTGCAACAAAACAATTTAAAAGCATTCTGATTATTCATGTTAAAGATGCTTTATGTTTTGTTTACTAAATGTTTTATGTTCCCCCTCATGCCCCTCTACACACAATAAGACAGATCTTGCAGGAAAACTTGAAAGTTCTAAGATATTTTTTATTGTTTCAGAATAAGGCATTTCATTTTGTTTATAAAAAAAAAAGTTTACCCAGTAGAAATGAAAAGCCTTAGGGTGGAAAGCAAACTTCAGTGGTGCCTAGTTCAAAAGAAGACGGAAATAAGAGGAAATAAGGCAAACTTCAAGCCACTTACCTTAGGGCTCCCAGTCCCTTCCTCATTCTCTGCAGACACATCAGTAGCCAGTATCTCTGCTTTGATGATATCCAGAGCCCTAAGAATCCAGCTGTGTTGCCGTTTGATTTGCCTCTGTAGTTCCTTCCATTGACTTGCAATCATCTGCAGCATGTCCTTCAGTCCTTCTCCAAAATGAAGGGGGAAAAATAAAAGCTGTAAACTCAACAGCATCTTTAAATATTGTCCTTTATTCAAATAATTATCAGGACATTTAAAATAATAAATGCAACAAGATGTGTTTAATGTGTTTTCATATCTTGGATTTGATTTTCTTTCAAATCCAAGCTTTCCTACTGTTCATCCTGCAAAACAATGCTATAGAGACAAACACTTCTTTTAGCCATCATGTTAAATTTTGATTGAATTTCAGCTGACAATTTCAAGAGAAAAATTTCACATAAACTGTCATTTCTCTGCAGTAGGGAACACTGCAGAGAAATCTCTCCCTCTAATATCCAGTCTTTGTCTTGAAACATTTCGTAATCCTCCAAAGACATTTTCCTTACCTCCAACTCCTTTAAATATTTCCTGTAGCTTACATGTTACTGTTTTGTACATCTGTGATAACATGCACTACCCTCCTTAGCTATGGCTTTTCTATCTTTTTGGAACTATACATAGAAGTCAGTAATTTCTTATAGCTTTCATGTTACACAGATGTCTGATGCTGTGAAACAATAGAGGCACACATATAACATGATGAGAAAACAGTATAGCAAAGAATAACTTTAACCTGGATGAAAAGCATGTTAAGTAGGCCAAAATTAAGATGGCATTCCATAGCAGTATATGCTGATTAAAACCCCATTAGCAGACAAGTCACGCAAACATCTAAAAATATAGGAGGTGGTAGGGATAAAGGGAAATCAGAGTATTTCTCTCCCTCCTCTCAATTTAGGGCCTCTGAAGAAAAAGACAAGCCTAACCAAAGGAAAAAGGTATTTTTAATTTTAATCTAGTACTCATAAATATATTTAAATCAATGTAAGAATTAGTTTCAGTGGTAAAATAAAGCTTTACCAATGCAATTACTCATGCAGAGTATGTAAATACATATATATATTTGAAATCCTAGTTCATTATCTTAATGTTATTTCCATAGCACCTACATCAAAGAATATGTCAGTGTGAAGTTTTCAGTGATGTGATTTCAATTGAAACTCAGTCGAACAGCAAGACCAAAATAAAATGAACAGACTATTTGCAGGCAGTATTTCATTTTATAAGTATCACTGCATTGTATGCAGTATATGAAACATTTATAAATCTTGAAGGTCAATCTGATAATGTAAATATTAATAATACATAAGGAAGTGAATATATGCAGTAATTTACAGCAATGCTTCTTCATTCTTTAATAGTCTGGAGACATAAAGACTTGCAATATTTCAGAAGGATTTACCTGATTTGTGAGATACAATAAGCTCAAGAAGTTGGCGTCCTTCCTCTACCACTGCTTCTTTCAAAGCACAGTGGCTATCTACATTCAACTTAAAACTCTGCAGAAATAAAAGAAAAAAAAAGAGAGAGAGGGAAAAAGCCTCAGCATCAGACGTTGGAGAGGCAGTTATCATAAAACACACATACAAATTACTTGCTGGTTTTTATCAAGAACCACATCCCAATTCACCCAATAGCCAGAATAATTTGTGGTACTAAAAGCTATTGATATTTTGGATCTGGGCTCAAAATGTTTCCATTAGATCAGCAAAGTGCATCTGTGTTGAAACAGCTGACAAATCTAGACATTCATTAGGTTTTATGAAAAGTCACAACCCGTAGGCTATATCTGGAGTAACAGAGTTCTATAAAATACACTAAATTTATGCCACCACATATGAGCTCTGTTTTTTTTCAGAGTTCTTTGAAATGTTGGTGATAGCACTATTTATGAAACCATAAAAAAATTACAACATTGAATATATTGGCCTTATGTGCACTTATACAAATCTATTAATATTGTGTTCCTGAGTTAACTCTCATATCCATTTTCAAAGAACAAATCAGTCTGCTTTAGATCTCTGCCTTCTTAATTTTTAAAGCAACTATTTTTCAACCTTTTTTTTCCTAATATTTTTAGTAGTCTGCAAAGAATCTGTTTTAACAGTCAATAAAATATTTTATTCCTTTTTTTATTATTATTTTATTTTTACAAAGTGCATTAAGATCTAGTAATAAAGGAAGCAGAAACATGATCTACTATATATTATGCCATTTAATACACAAATGATAACTCGGATAAATCTTTTAATCATTTTCCAAACCTTCTCACTATACTTGCCTGTAAGAAAGAAACAAAATACAACAGAGAAAAGGATACTTGCTGTATTTAATCATAAATTGTGTGCAGAACTAAAACGCATACAGGCAACATATCTTCTCTTTGAAATGTCTATGGAATAAATGGAAACAATATTTGACCACTTGGAAAAAAAGAGCTTTTCCTTCTCTTGGGAATAAGTTAACTGGCAGAGATGAAAGGAGACTTTGCAAGTGCACATTCATAGCTTCTGGTTTTTATAAAACTTTATACTTCTTGAAATGGTAGTGACCATGCTAGAAATTGAGTGATAGGTAGCACAGAATACTCAAGAGCCCTCAATTCTTAAGGAAGCAAACATTTTCTTTCTTTCCTAACCCTTGCAGTCAGGTTGATTGGCATAGCAAAAAAAAATATTGCCAGAACAGTAATAAAATAAGGTATTTCTACTGTGATTTTTCATGCTTGAAAAAGGTATGTTGCTCAGACAGTCTTAACAGTTTTTCAGGCAGCATTGTACCTGACAGTGACAAAATGTTATTGAGAATTTTCCATTCCAATAAAGAGCAAGAAACAGAAATGTTGCTACCTTTAGCATTTTTACTAGCCCAATTCTCCTTGTAGGGACATCTGAATACATTGTTTTGTACCAGCTCCTGAACAACTGGGCCAGTCAAGAGAAGTTAAAAAGGAAAAAAGATGCCTAGTTTATGTCTGTCCCTTTCTTAAATCTAGAGTTTTATGAATCCAAATCTACAAGTTCTTTTTCTTTCGTAAGAGCATGTCTGAACAAGCACTGACAATATTTAATTTACTGTTTACTTAAAACAGGCTTGTACTGAATAGTTTGTAATCATGCACTTCACAGGAAATGCACTATGTGTGTGCCTCACACAGCAAAGAGAACCTAAAGGACCTGAGAGTAGGTTGTGTAATTTCATATAATTGAAGTTGAGTATAGATGCAGCTGGATGTGGTAGTGTCTCAAGATGATGTGGATGTGTTTGATAGGAAAATTGGAAAAGATGAGGTATTCTCTTTCATTAGGAAAAAAAAAAAGACACTTGCTGTCCTAGAAAAGATTCATTTAACATAACGCACCAGATACCACAATACAGCTTGATTTTCAGGTGCACCTATTAACCAGTAATAACGTTAAACTGAAGAAGCAAAATAAGATGAATAAAGATGGGACCAAACTTTTGGTTTCTGACTAGCAATATTCTCCTTGTGCAAAATTCTTATTTTATGGATAAATTATGAGTGGCACACATGTCATGAACATGCATGAAATTTATTAGAAATAAACTTTTCCCAGCAGAGAGGCAGTAAGTTGTGGTTTAACCCTAGGAGAAACTAAGCACAACACACAGCCTCTCACTTACTCCCCACTCAGCGGGATGGGGAAAATAATCAGAAGGGTAAAAGCAAGAAAATTTGTAGGTTAAGATACAAACAGTATTATAGGAAAAGCAAAAGCTGTGCACACATGCAAAGCAAAATGAGAAATTCATTCACCACTTCCCATGGTTCATACATCCCCAGGAAAACAGGGCTTTATCACACGTAACAGTGACTTGGGAAGAAAAATGCTGTAACGTCAAACATCTCCCCTTCCTCCTTCTTCCCCCGAATTTAGGTACTGAGCATAATGTCACATGGTATGGAATACCTCTTTGGTCACTTAGGGTCAGCTGTCACAGCTGTGTCCAACTCCTTTTGCACCCCCAGCCGACTTGCTGGTGGTGTGGTACAAGGAGCAGAAAATGCCTAAGCTCTGTGCAAGCACTGCTCAGCAGTAACTGAAACAACCCTGTATTATCAATACAAATCTATAACATGGCCCCATAGTACCTACTATGAAGAAAATTAGCTCTAACTCATCCAAAATCAGCACACATTAAAAGGAGAGAACCATTCATGTAAGTGGAAATAAACAGAAGCGAATGTTGTTGATGTAGTGCAGTATGAATTTTTAATTTAGAATTATATTTGTATATATAATTTCTAGTCATTTCCTAAGGAAAAAGAATTGGACAAGGAACAGTGGAAGACATAGCCCTCAATCAATGCTCAAGGTTTCTCATACCTGAGGGGCTGAGTATGTGACACATGAAAAAGACAAGAGTTGAAGATGTAACAAGTATTACATGTATATACAATGGAGAAATGCAAATTTGCACAGCTACAGATAAAATCAGAACAAATATTTGGAATGAAGGAAGACCTTCAAACACAGAGGTCCCCTCCCATCCTGGATATTTCCTGCTCCCTACCGTTTACTTAAGGCATTTGGAAAATTGTAACTCTAACAGCGTGTGACCCAGGTACTCTGCTCCCCTCCTCCTCTGATCTTCCTGATAATGAATGGAGCCTTTGCATGTGAAGAGAGAAAAGAAGAGGAGGGGAGTCAATTAATCAAAGCCATTTTTCCAGGCACATTTGCAGCTATAGAGCAGTCTAAATATCACACATGAGCACGTAGACATTATGGAAAATGCATGTGCATTGGCCTGACAGCAGCTTTTTAAACAACACATTAATGTCATCCCTAGAACTACAGTGTATAAAAACGTAGTTTACAAGCTGCAACAAGCAAAATTTCCTTACAAAGTTCTCTTCACTTTTTGTGATCACCACGTACCTATATATAACTATCAACTGCTCTAATTTAGCAAGAAAGGAAAAGTGAAGTAGGAATCATGCAGTTTTGGAAAAGCTACACAACCATAATAAATGAAATTAAAACACCAACAGGGTAAATACAAGATGCCAGCAGTGCTATCTTCTGTTGATGGCGTGGAGCAAAGGAGCACAGCCTTCACAAAATGAAGGTGTCCCCTCACTTTCAGGAAACTTATTGATTCAGAAGATTACAGTAGTGCAGAACATCCATGGGTTAAAAAAGCAGCACCTCCTGATCTATGCTGGACTCTGAAAACACTAAAAATAAGAGAGCACTTTCCCAGAATATAATAATCTCTCCCTCATATCTTACTATTCTGTACAAGTGAGGATAAAAAAACTTGTGTGAAAAAAGAAATTTAAGTTCCTCATAGGATTTATTTGATGGTTGTAGCTACTTAAATTTAGGAAGCTTCTATTGTGTAGGTATTCTACACTGTGTACACATATTTTGCTCTGATATGAAACATTTCTCCCTCTGTTCTTAGAAAATCTTTATAATTTGGTAAAACACCTGAGTCTTTACCTATTCCTATCTGCACTAAGGACAGATAATTAGAATTTTTTTGTTTGTTTGTTTCCAGAGAGGCACAGAGACTTACTATAACCATGATTTTTTTTCAAGTCATAAGGTATCAGTTGATTGTTTCTAGTCTACTGTCTCTGAAACACAAATCAGCAATTAGGTATCATGTGAACCTACAATGTATGCATAAATATAGGTTAGTTTGGATGACACAGCAGTTTACATCTATTGTCAGATTAAGACAATGTATTAAAAGAAATATCTTAATTTTGTCAGTTCAGTATACTATCAGAATGTGTGGTGGACTGGGGTACCCCTGAAGGAGAATTTTCTTGAGGTTAATTTTTTACATTTTTAAATACCTTTATGAATAATATTACTGTTTCTAAAGTGTTTATTTTTCAGAGCAATAGTACAGACAATTAAAAATTATCTGCCTTGGATTCTATGGTTTCAGAATTTGGAAAAGGAAGATTAATTTAAAATTTCCTAATAGTGTTTTTGAGAAATCTACACTACTGAAATATGGACTTGTATATTTAGGTATATTTGCACACATAATTTGGCTAAGAATATAGCACTTTTAATTATAACACCCACTGTGACAGATATAATTCAATTGTGAAATTCAGAGTAATGGAAACAGTTGCTGGTAGAAAAGATATGGAATGTCCATTTGTCTTAAAGGGATATGATTTGAAACAATTCCTGAAAAATTATTTTTATATGCTCAATACACAACTACTTTTGCAAGTCTACTTCTCCTGGCACAGTTACCTTCCAATAATTTGCTATGACAAAATACCAATATATCAAGTTCTGAACTCAATTTTTGGTCATGGAGTGGCAGCTGTCTATTTTCTTCTTCTTTTTTTTTTCCTTCAGCATTTTTGATGACACAGAAAGTCTCTGTTTGGACAGTGCCTATTATTTAAGAATTTGTGTTAATAATTTAAGTTAATAACTTGAGTTAATAACCTAATAAGCCATGTAATAACCTAGTGGTATTTTCAGATTCCTGAATACTA